GGCTAGAAAGTGGACCACCGAAGACAAACGATATCTTAAGGCTAACTTCACTTTAAGATATGGATGAATATTATTAATTGTCATGTTTATCACTTGGGGTGTGTTTCTTTAGGGGAGTTTGGGGAAAGTTGGGTTTGAGTTTGGTTTTTATTTGAATTTTGGGATGAGTTTGAATTTTGTTGTTTCTTTTATATTTGGGTTTGGTTGGGGTTTGGGGAGTTTTGATGTGTATTGATTTGATGGATAATGAATAGAATAATATAAATGTGTATTAAATTTAATTGATAAAATTTATATTGTATGATTTGATTATGAATTTATATCATACCCAACATATATATATATTTAAGTTTTTATTTATTTGTATTATAAAAAATTTTATTCTCTACAAAATGACATATATATTGTATATATTTTTTTTACCATATAATTATTATAAATATTAAATAAATATAATATTTTTAAAAAATATTTAAAAATAAATAAATAAAAGTGGCAGCTTTTTGCTGCCATTTCTGCAGCAAATGTCGAGGGAGGGGGGGCGCTCGGTTTGGGGGAAAAAACTGTGCAAACAGTGTTTGCACAATTTTTTCCCCCAAACTGAGCAAAAAGAAACAGACCCTTGGTTCTCAAAGACTCGGACTTGAGAATGGCTTTCGGCCCTCCTAAATTATTCTAAAAATAATTCTATTGGTTCATCTAATTATTGTCACAAATTAGTCAAATCCGAGATCGTCATCTTAATAAAAAAAAGGCTATAAAATCTTTCATAAAGTGCTCGCTCCAAATCCGTCCAATTCTGGAGAGAATTTGGCTAAAAACCTTCATAGCAACTGAGGGCAAGACCTATTAAATATAAAGAATAAAATTAGAATTTATACTATTCATTATCAGAAAACTTCCCTTGACATTGAGTTGTAAAACAACTTATGTGTTCTATTATTGAAAGAAAATTCTCTCTGAAAAATAAAGTGAACTTCAGAATTCTAGAATTTTAGGGAATAGAATGTTTTTCCACTACATAATTTGGATAAGGCCTTTGATAATTGGGTCTTTCTGGTAATCATATTGTATCTTTATACACTTTAATAATAGCTTCCGTAAAGGCATCAAGATCCATATGTGGATTCTGATGTGATGGATAACTTGGTAGATATTTTTGCTACTAAAAAAATACATGATCTTGGTGCAACATCTCAGGTGACTTTCATTTGCTCATTTGTGAATGCGTCTTTAGGAAGTTGTCATGCTCTTATATGATTTTCAAGAGGACTTTGAAATTAGTGTATTGAAAGCCTAAAAGCCCTTTGGAATCCAATAGGTTGGGGTCTCTCTAGAATAACACCTTCAGTAGTAATAGAGACTGTACTAAAACAATGATCCCTAGAGTAGCTATTTCACCTAAATTCGGTTGTGGAAGTGAATATGAAGCATTATGTTATGTGGATTGAGAAGCATACGACTGAATATGCATTTAAAATGTGCTAACATATCCCTTAGCACCATAGGATTTCACATGAACATAAGGAGCCACTTCCCCTGCTACATAAGATCCCATATGATTAAAAAAAATTAACAACTTCCTTGCAATATAAAATTCTACAAGAACAAGAAGAACTCTTTGCCCCCTATGGCATAAGAATCTATTAAAAATCCAAAAAAATTAGTAGAACCCACCTCCTAAGGATATGAAATGGCCATATACGAATATGACATCCATGGCAAAAAAGATGTCCAATGATGTGATTAAGCCATGGCTAGACCCCCAGAGAGATGGATCGGCTTGTAATCCTCCAAAAATTCCAAAAAGTTCCTGAAAGTCTTGAGAAACATGATTTGAATTTCCTGTAATTTCTTACGCCCTCCAAACTTATTAGATACCTGATATATTAGAAAGACTAGAAGAATTAACGTCTCGATTAGAAATTTGAAGATCTCTACATCTATGTAGTAAAGTTACCTATCCATATTGTAAAAATAGTGACATAGAAAGCACACATGCTTCATTTGCCGGATGAACAAAAGAAGTTGTTTCGTTTTTAATAGTTTTCAATGCCAGAACTTTTTCTATCAGGCTTCTTCATCACAAAACCATATAATCTCATTTTCAATAGTTGGACGAATGATGTCTACCAAGTAATGAGAAATTATTTGAGAGAAATCATGCATATAGGATTGAATATCGGCCCAGATTGTTTCCTGAACCACACTAGTGGGTAAAATATATATATATATATTTTTTCACCTTATTCTCTGGTAGTAACAAATATGACATTTGCAGGCTCCTTATAAAACGATGGATCATGTGCTAGAAATTGAGTTTCGCAACGACATTAAAGAATCTTCGATATTCTGATTCCGTAACTGTATGAACCACGAGACACTCAACATTCTCATTGGGTGTATTAATATATTGCCGGAGTCCGCCCCATAAAAATCGATCCGAGCTAACCTATCTCATTTGACTTCTCTAATTTCACATGTTGCTATAACGCCCCTTTTTACCTCCTTTAGACTATAGCCTATTACACTAACCCATAAACATACTTAGCATAACTTGTCTTCATTCTCACATCTTGGCCCAAATTAATTTTCTTTAAACCTGAATTTTATTAGCCTAAAATTTAATTTGCTAAATATTAATGTAGTATATTATAAAAAAGAATATCTTTTTCATATATTCAAAATTTTTTGATAAGGATTTTAATGTAAGAATATTTTTTTTTGTTATTCTTTTTATGAAAAATTCGAGAGGATACAATTTTATTTTTTTTTAAAAAAAAAAATTATAGGAGAGGGATTATAGAATTTGTTTGTTTTGTAAAATTATTTTAATTTTTTTAATATAAAATTTAAAAAATTATACAGATATATAAAAATAATAAATATATAATATATTAATTTTAAATAATATATATTTGATTTATTTAGATAAAACAAACAAATCATATATCTTTATCAAGATTATTCATAAATATTTATACTCTCTCTGTCCCATATAAAGTTTTCATTTTTTTTTCGTTTATCCCAATTTGTCATTTTTTTAGAAATATAATTATACACTTATCATATTTTAAAATTTAAAATTTAAAATTTTTAATTTTTAATTCAATTATTTATTTATTGTAATCCATAATTATTTTTACTAATATAGTTTTTAATTATTTACTTGTTACTCTCTGTGTCGTCAAAATATATGCTCATTTCGACCGGAAACATATTTTAAAAAAAATATGTAAAAAGAAAAAGTTGAAAAAGTGGTATTTTTTTACTTAAAAAAGAAACGATAATAAATTTAAATGATAATAAAAAATAGAAAAATGTGAATAAATTTAAAAGACCATTGAAGTATATTTTATCATGTCTACACATTTTTAGTAGAGAACAAATTGAGAATTAGAAATGTCGAAAATTGGGCTCTTTAGCAAACAACAAAACAAAATCCATTTCAGGTGCGTTTGTTCGTGAGTTTGAATTTTAAGTTGGAATTTAAATAATAAAAATTTTAAATTTAAATAATTATATAATGTGATATAAATAAGAATTGATGTCTGTAAAATTTATTTTTAATATAATATAAAAAAATAAAAAATAAATATTTAATTTAATATTTTTATTTTTTTAAAAAAAAAATTGATGAAAATAACGGAAATCCCACCAAATCTCTCAAACATTACCTCTTTTTGGGGAACATAAAAATTTGCCTGTTTTGGTCAATGGGAGAGTGAGTGGGATATTGTCGCCCCGCCGGAATGTCTGACACTCACATCAACCACCCTATTGGAAACTCAATTCTTTTCTAAAATATCCTTCTTTCTATATTATTATTATTTTAATTTTTATATACTCGTCGCCTATCCTTACTGGAATGACGTGGCTTTTAAAAGTGTTCTCTTATTTTTTCTTATTATACTAACACCTATATTGGCCCACCATTATTTATTATTATAATTATATTTAATATGCTTATAAAAATAAAATAAGTAATTTTTAAATATATCTTTATTAATTATTGAATACTTTTTTCATAAATATTCAATTTTATCTATTTATTTTAATGTTAAAATATTTTTTGTTATTGTATATATAAAAAAAGTAATATTGATACCGACATAAAAATTTAGATGGATAAAATAAAATAAAATTTTTGTGATGTTATCAAGAAAAAATATAAATTTTCAATTTCATATATTTGGATTGCAGTGAAAAAGACGAAAATATTTTTATTAGTAACGTGTAATATAAAGACAGTGACATTTGTATAATATATTGTTAGTAGAATGGGTATTTATTATGTTAGATAATGGTACTCTTGTTTTGGGACGAACGAAAATAAAAAATGGAATCATTTTTATAGGAACGGAATGAATATTTTTTTTATTTCAATTTTTTTATCTCACTTTAAAGTATTCCTTTAATTTACAAAAATATTAAAAATTTTTGCACATATTCACTAATTAATAAAATATTATTATTTTTTAATTTATTACGAAATTTTAAATAGTCCATTTGATTTCAACTTGCAAAAGTATACATTTATCTTTTTATTAAAGTAATATGATAAAGATAAATATATTACTAGTAATTATTTTCTATATTTGAAATATTGTAGATGACGTGAATAGAATGGAGGCAGTATTATTTTTTTATAGCAAAAATTATTTTTGATGTCATTCAATATTATAATTATTAATTTTAGTCTTATTCAAAAAAATTTATTCATTGGTCTCACTCAAACGAAAATTTATCAATAAGTGTCTCGGACGCGAGTCACCTTAGGAGTCTGTTCAGTCCCATAAACCATTTTGAAAATAAAATTGATAAATTTTTGTTTAAATAAGACTAAAATTAATAAAAATTTTTGAATGATATAAAAGTATATATATTTTTGAATTAAATAAAATGCATGTATATACATAAACATATATATAACGTGTATATATATATATATATATATTGTAATAAAATATACATGTAGCCAGTCCAGTCCATTCCATAGATACGGATACGGTAGCCTGTGTAGGGTGTACACCACACTGCCTTCCGCCTTTGCTTTGCGGTGCTGTTGGTCGAATCTCCAAGGGTTAACCTCTGGTTATCTCTGCTTTCGGCTGTGCCTTCCAAGACGGACGGGATGGGAGCGACGAAGGGATCATCGGTTGGATCGGTGGAGGAGTTTCTCAAGCAGTGCCAGCAATCTGGCGACTCCGCCTACGCCGCGCTCCGTTCGATCCTGGAGCGCCTCGAGGACCCGGGCACCCGAGTTGAGGCGCGGATCTTTCTTGCGGAGATCCAGAGACGCTTTGAATCCAAGGGAGAAGCCGAGCGGTGCCTCCAGGACTACCATTTTCAGATTCAGGACTTGCATCTGGAGCAAAACGAAGGTCAGTATCGAACCTGCATTTGCAAAGTTGTGTGGGATTCTTTCTGTGTCTTATATGTTGGTATGTGTCTGTACTTTAGCGAGGAATATTCGATTGACGAAATAGAATAAGCGTGATCTTTTTTGGATTGGTCGGTAATGGCTTAGAGGAAAGTTTTGATCATCAAAAAATGAGAAAAGGACAAGTAATCTCTCGGTGTTTTTTTAGAATTCAACGATGTTGACACTCGCTGTATATGTAGCTTGTTAATTTTCTACTTTGAAATAAGTGGGTGATCAGAAAAAGTGATTCCAAATGCTACAGCTGCTGTAGACCTTCTGTCGATGGTTTAAGTCGATCTGCGATATGCTCGCACAGTTCGAAAACTATCCGCTTTACGAAGATCCTATTGTATCCCGGAAGCTCGCAACAAAGCTGAAATGATTTTTCATGATCAGAATTGAAGTTTTGCCATTTTTATTTATTTATTTATTTATTATTATTATTTTATATTAGAATGTTCAACCTTCCCCATAATCTGCTCTTGTTGTGATTCTTGTGATAAAATTTATTATATTTCTATTATACTTGTTCGAAAGGATGAAACATGCTCCTTAGCATTTATCCCTAACAATTGATATAACGCTTATCAACCCATTTAAACCTCTGGATATTAATGATTTAGTTATTTCATGACAAATAACTTGTAATTCTCTCTTATCAGAGTACTGTTGAAGCGTGAGTTCATCTAAGTTTTGATTACATTCTGGTAAATGCTCTTCAGATGAGTTCGACAGTGTCTCTTATATATGAATATGATTACTGAGATCTTCCACGTGGCAGCCGATTGTTGAGTAAAAATCACTTCAAATTTCCAATATTGGAGATGGCATCAAAAGTCATAATTTGGAACAAAAAAAGTTGAGAATCGTTTTATTTGCCTAATGTGTTTCTCTTATTTCTTTATTGTCTCATCTGTAACCAATATTATTCTCTTATCTTAATTTTGTTTTCATGTATCAATTAGTCAATGCTTGCTTGTCTATTGGAAACAAATTTTTCCCAATTGCTTTGTACTATCTAGCTGCATTGATGCGTTTCTTTCAACGAGCTATAGGTTCCCAGAAGAGAACAAAACTCACAACAATAGTAATTCCCAGTATCTTTGTGCCCGAGGATTGGTCCTTCACCTTCTATGAGGGACTCAACAGGCATCCAGATTCCATTTTCAATGACAAGACAGTAGCTGAGCTTGGCTGTGGGAATGGTTGGATATCTATTGCAATAGCAGAAAAGTGGTCACCCTTGAAGGTCCATGATGTCTCAATTTTATTTTGAATGAACACTTTTTTGAAATAAAGCCTTGAGAAACAATTGCAACAATGTTTCGTAATGCTCTCTACCACTCTTTTACAGGTCTATGGGCTTGATATTAATCCAAGAGCAGTGAAGATTTCTTGGATAAACCTATATTTAAATGCTTTGGATGAAAAGGGCCAACCCGTATATGATAGTGAGAAAAAAACTTTACTTGACAGGGTTGAATTTTACGAATCTGATCTGTTGTCTTACTGCAGAGATAATCAGATTGAACTTGAACGAATTGTTGGATGCATACCACAGGTAATATCTTAAATGCCATGAAATCTTGCTCCTATGTTTTGCAAATGATCATTCTCCCAACATCCAGGGAGATTAATAAGCCTTTCATTTGCTATGGGCTGTTTTGGCTTTCCGATTATCTCATTTTGTTTTGTTATGCAGATCCTTAATCCTAATCCCGATGCAATGTCCAAGATGATAACAGAAAATGCTAGTGAAGAATTCTTGTATGCACTGAGCAATTATTGTGCCCTCCAGGTTGGATATTTTTTTTACTTAACCCTATTTCCATATCACAAAGCCAAATAGCTTCTAAATCTTTGGCTGAAGTATATGAACATATCAGATACATCATTATGTGGCTCTGCGAACTCCGTGATACTTGTATAGAACATTTTGAAAGGCAGCTCCATGGTTTCATTCCAATTGGAATGACATATAGACTCCTGAGGCTGTCTTCTTTCTTTCTAATGTCTTTTTTCCCCCTTTTTATGAAGAGTTTCAGTCCATTCAGTGAAAAATTTGGAATGCTTTTAGCTGAGTATCTGATGATGACTTGTTAATTCCTTTTCAATAGTGTGATATCGTAGTTTCCATACATTATCTTATGATTTTTCCTGCAATTTCCCTTCCATCAAGAAAATATACTCATGGAAATCTTATCTAGGTAAGAAGCAACCGGATAGAATCTCCAGCCTTTGAATGAATTAAAGCAGAAGCTTTCAGGAACTAAAATCTTACTGTATTAAATCTAGGCACCTTGTTACTATGAGAACTCTTTTATCTTTATGTTCCAGTAGACCTTACAAATTCCACCTCTATTTTTGGAACATTATCTGGCTTGCCAAGCTGCTCTGTCATATTACCTATTCCGTTATTATTCATTATTCTAGCTACAGTTTTATGTTTGATTGAGGTAACAATCTTTTTCGTACAAACACTGGCAGAGCATTCATTCAACTTCCGAGGCATTATTATATGCTAGTTCATGAATTAGAAGAGCTGCTTTTGGTTGTTATTAAGTTGTTTTTTCTTTTCATGTTAGGGCTTTGTTGAAGATCAGTTTGGGTTAGGGTTAATTGCTCGGGCTGTTGAAGAAGGGATATCTGTTATAAAGCCGCTGGGAATTATGATCTTCAATATGGGAGGCCGACCCGGACAAGCTGTATGTAAACGCTTGTTCGAGCGCCGAGGTCTGCTTGTTGACAAGCTTTGGCAGACTAAAATCCTTCAGGTTCTACTATAACATTTGCTTTATAAAGTCCACAAAAAAGTGTCTTGTGTACCTTTTTTGACATCTTCTCTTGCAGGCTGCTGACACTGATATTTCAGCATTAGTTGAAATTGAAAAGAATAGCCCACATCGATTTGAGTTCTTCATGGGCCTTGTAGGCGACCAACCAATATGTGCTCGAACAGCATGGGCATATGCAAAATCTGGTGGTCAAATTTCTCATGCATTATCAGTATATAGTTGTCAACTTCGTCAACCTAATCAGGTATGGGAAATTATTTGTACACCTGTGTGACAAGAACATATACTTTCATAAGAACACCGGACTATCTATGGTGAAATGAAGCAGTACTAATTATGTCGTGTGACAGGTAAAAAGAATTTTTGAGTTTCTCAAAAATGGATTCCATGATATCAGCAGCTCTTTGGATTTGTCATTCGAAGAAGACTCCGTTGCAGATGAGAAAATCCCATTCCTGGCTCATCTTGCTGACGTCTTAAAAGAAATTTCATTCTTCCCATATGAACCACCTGCTGGAAGCAGAAGATTTCGTGGTTTTATTGCTGGGTTTATGAGATCATACCATCACATTCCACTCACAGTAGATGTAAGGGACTCCTCTCTTAACAGCGTTATCTGAAATTAATTGGATTGTGTGTTGTTCGTTTTCTGTAATCATCTGTAGATATCTTATCTTAAAGAAATATAATGCGAATTTCATCATTAAAAGCAACTTAATGATACACCCATGATCCATATGTTCTTACATTTATTTGAGTGTTCAAAAATGGAACCAGATCCTGTGTGTTTTTATCTTCCTTAGCAAGTGAAGCAACACATTCGTTGAGAGAAGCATTTATTTTACACTGTTTACACATTATTTCAGAAAGCATGGTGAGATTTTAATATTCCCATCCATGTGACTCTGATTACTTGCCTTACACAATAGATTCATGCATGGAATTGTATTGTGGGAAATCTACTTTTTTATATTCATCAAAAGAAAGGAAAAGTCAATTTTATCTTCTCCTTACATTCCTTATGAATGGAATATGTATATGCATATTTCAATCTATGCCCAAATACCTTAACAATTATGCATCTTTTGACTTGAATTGACATTTTCCTTAATGTCTCTCTCTTGTTCATTCCATGTTTTTTGTATGCTTACAAATTACAATATTATTGAATGTCTAATTATTTCACCTTTTTTTTTTTTTTTTGGTGGGCTAGAATGTTGTTGTCTTTCCATCAAGGTCTGTGGCAATTGAAAGTGCTTTACGTCTGTTGTCTCCACGCCTCGCCATCGTTGATGAACAATTGTCCCGGCATTTACCAAGGCAATGGCTGACATCTCTTAATATTGAGGTATTGTGATTGGAAAATCAATTTTCTTCACCACTTTGCTTCAACAAATGTATACTGTTTATTTCCACTTTAATCCTCGTGCATTTCATTTGGAGATTTGTGCAATAGAGAGCAGAGAGACTTGTGGAACTTATAGCTGCTTGTTTCTCAGATAAATAATAACGTTAAATTTACATTTAAAAAACCCTTGCATTCCTATGCAAACTGAAGCATAGATACAGGACATGCAATGTGCTCAATATGAGAAGATCATAAATTGCTAATTTGTAACAAGGCCTGCATTCCATCTATTTGCATGGCTGGATTATCTTTACCCATTATTTCTGACAACATGCTGTTGACTTGTAGTTTTTTTACTGACAATATGTAAATAATGTTCTGGTGTTCATTTGATATCAAATATTTGCTCGAGAGGAATCACATTTCAGGATCAATTACTCAACCTCAGATTTGGTATAGCCAATGCTGTCACTATGTTTCGATTGGGGTGCAGGAGGGGGTGAATTATTGCTATTCTCTAGCACTTCTCTAAATCTGAACCCTTATTTACTGCTGTCATTGGTTTTGGGGTTTTCTATGAACTTGTCAGTCCGTAATATACTAGAAAAGAAACTCCCAATGATATATAAATATTTTGCATCGCAGATTCTTCTAGAATTCCTTGCACTGATCATTCTCATCCTCATTCTAAATGTTTGGCCTCGAATCATTTGAGAACTTGTGAGATTGTGGGATAAAATTCGTTGACTATTGGACATTTTTTCTTCAACCCTTGTAATTTATCTGCAGAAGAAAGAAGGTGGCGTGGAGGAAGCAATAACAGTAATTGACGCTCCACGACAGTCTGATTTAATGATAGAGCTGATCAAAAAATTGAAGCCAGAGGTGGTAGTCACTGGGATGGCCCATTTTGAGTCAGTCACAAGTTCTGCATTCCAGCATCTTTTAGATGTCACAAGAGAAATTAAATGTCGATTATTCTTGGATATATCAGATCACTTTGAACTATCTAGCCTCCCCAGTTCCAACGGAGTCTTTAAGTATCTAGCTGGAAGTACTCTTCCTTCACATGCATCTATTGTATGTGGCTTACTTAAAAATCAGGTATACATTTACCAAAGTAAAAATAACTCAGCTTTTATGATGTTAATGGTACTTATTAACTGTTTTGTACATGTTAGCAGATTCATCCTCAGGCGATATATGCTAATTTACGAACACTATTCTTTCCAGGTTTATTCTGATTTGGAAGTTGCATTTGTGATAACCGAGGAGGAGGCAATGTTTAAATCCCTATGCAAGACTGTGGAGCTTTTACAAGGAAATACTTCTATAATTAGTCAGTACTACTATGGTTGTCTTTTCCATGAGCTTCTAGCTTTCCAGCTTGCTGATCGACATCCACCTCTACAGGTTATATACATAAAATGACTGATTTATATCACAAGTTAGCAACCTTGGCTACCTTTATGTTAAAAATTGAATCCCAAAGAACTAACTAAATGAGGTTTCTACTGTAGTCTCTTTTAACTACAAAATCGCTCACATTATATCTTTGGCCTTCTTGATATTAACTTGACAGGATTCATGAATAGTGACATTCCAATTATTATTTGAAAACTACCCCTCACCATTTTACATAATCCTTTTTCCGATGCTTATTACTGGATTAGATCTGCCAAATTATTCTACAGATTCTGGATAATCTAACCATGTGTGGTGTTTTCACATTTCCAGAGAAGTGGTGAGAAGACCAAGGTTTCTGTGGTCGATCACATTAGCAGTTCTGCAGTTTCCGTACTAGACAATGCTGAGTTGGCTGCAAATGAGCTCAATGAATCTTCCTTGGTTCATATGGATGTTGATCAAAGCTTCTTGCCCATGGCAAAACCATTCAGGGCGGCCATCTTTGAGAGTTTTGCAAGGCAGAACATAACAGAATCCGAGACTGACATTACCACAAATATTCAACAATTGGTTAGCAGGAGCTATGGCTTTCCATCTGGCAGCGACACTGAATTCATATACGCACATTCTACAGTGGCACTTTTCAGCAAGTTGGTGCTCTGCTGCGTCCACGAGGGTGGAACCCTCTGCTTTCCAACTGGTTCAAATGGAAATTACGTATCGGCTGCGAAATTCTTGAATGCAAAAATTGTAGATATCCCTACCCATCTGGAAACCCGATACAAGTTAACAGAGAAAACACTCGGAAGTGCATTGGAGACTGTCAGTAAACCATGGGTCTACATTTCAGGTCCCACTGTCAATCCTACAGGCCAGATATACAGCAATCAAGAGATACGTAAGCTATTATCTCTGTGCGCCAAGTTCGGAGCGAGGGTGATCCTAGACACCTCATTCTCGGGTGCAGAATTTAACTCCAAGGGACATGAAGACTGGAACTTGAGAGCTACTCTGGATGAACTTTCGTCGGCTAATTCCCCTTTCTGCGTCTCGCTTCTTGGGGGTCCATTTTCTAAAATCCTGCCCGGTGGGATTGGATTTGCTTACCTTATTATTAACAAGTCTTCTCTGGCAGAAACATTCCATAGCTTTGCAGGGCTATGCAAACTGCATGGAACTACTAAATACACGGTCAAGAAACTTCTTGATCTTCAAGACCAGAAAACAGATCTGCAGAATTCCATTTCGGAGCAGACGCAAATCTTGGGAAATAGATACGAACAACTGAAGCAGGTGAAGTATTCATTTTTAAGCTTATTTGTATCCATAGCACACTTAAAAAATTTACAGCATCGCCTAAACTTCCAGGCAGTCTGTAAACTAAAGTTGATTTTTGGAAAATTTTGTATAACAGAGGCTGGAAACGTGCGGTTGGGAGGTGCTTGAAGCTGAAGCTGGCATATCCATTGCAGCAAAGCCGTGTGCGTATCTGGGGAAGACTATGAGAATGAAGGACGAAAATGGGAAAAGCTGGGAAGTGAAGGTGGACGAGAGAAACATCAGGGAAGCTATGATGCGGAGCACGGGGCTGTGCATGAACAGCACGGAGTGGACGGGAATTCCCGGGTACTGCCGCTTCACGACGGCGTTGGCGGACGATGATTTCAACAAAGCACTGGAATGCATCTCCAAGTTCAAAAGCTGGATGATCAACGGTTAGTTTAATTTGTTTGTTTGTTGATTTACACTTTAACTGAATGCTGTTTTACATGCTGCCTGCCTGCCTGCCTGCTTGCTTGCCTGGACTTGATATCAATTTATCTTGATCGAAGACACTGATTTATGACTGCAATTTGTCTATTTGTGTGTTAACTGTTAATTACTAGTATTATATGGAGTAGTAACTAATTAAGGCTCAAGTGTGTGTGTTTAGTCGTAGGGCATGGATTAGCTGCTACTGACATGTATTAATACATATTTCAATATATTTATAATTCAATATATGCTATCTTATAACATAATACTCCCTAGGTCCACTGATAAAGTAAATATTTACTTTTTGTGCGGCGTTTAAGAAATAATAGTATTTTAATTATAGTGGATAGTTAAAAGTAATGTAATAATATTTTTGCCTTAGTTTTTTTTTTATTTTTTATGTAAAAGTAACGATGTGATATAAAGTAAGTATTTATTGAAAAAGAGTGAGGTATTTAATGAAATATTTACTTTGTAAGGAAGTATATGATAATGTCTATATATATATATATATAGATATAGATATATGCTGCACAGGATCTGCAGCCTTAGTAGTTCGTAAATAATTAGATTTAGCATTTAGGGTGATAAATGGTTAGGTGTGTGTTGATCCAATGTTAATTACTCCTTATGATGAAGCTCCATAATGTCCATTTGTGAGCATTAATCCCTGAAAAATATATCATTTGCTTATTCCACGGACTTTTAGAAATATTAGTATTATATTGGAATAAAGTAGAAATAAAGGTAAAAAAACTAAAGTAACCGATATAAATGACATATAAATGACATTTGTACAGTTACTAAAAAAAAAGAAATGGAAACGGGACGGACCAAATGAAAAAATAGATAGATTGTTAACGACAGATGAGCATTAATTTACAAACAAGGGTGTGTATTTTTTCAAAAAATAAAAAAAATATATATATATTTTTTAAAAAAAATTAATATATTATACATAATTTTAATTTTTATATTATCTATTTAATTCTCTATTATTTCATGCAAATAAATATCATTTGAAATGATTTTACAAAACAAATACATCTCTTTCCAAATTTTGAAATATAAAACAAGACAAAAGAGCATACCCTGATTTTATTTTATTTTTTTAATTATTAATATTTCTTTTATGATTTTATATAAAATGAATTTATTGAATATAACTTTTTTAAAATAATGCTACTATATTAAAAAATATAAAATACTAAATAAAAATTTTAAAAGATATTTAAAAATATTGAATGGGGATCTTGCTATCCATCCATTTGGTATTTGTTTAGATGCGGTTTGAGATTGGTTTATAAGTAGTTTAAGGGTTTATTTTTTTAGCATTTCAAATTAAAAATTAACACTATTTATTATATATAATTTTCAATATAAAATACATAATTTTTTCTTACAAAATATTACATAAAAAAAAATGCTATTTAAATAATATTTAATTTCAAATCAATTTTAAACTACACCTAAACAAATCTTAAAAAATAATAGTAATGAAAATTTAAATTATCGTGTACTTTTAGAATTATATATAATTATATTTAATGTAGTGTTTTAAATTAAATAAAACTTATAATTAAGATTATGTTATATCAAAATAACTATTTAATATAATATTTGAAAAATGTAATATAATAGTAAATGATACTATAAGAATTGTTTAATAGTATTGTAAACGTCAATAGAATATCCAGAGAAGGCAGTCAAAAGAGAGAAGCGGAAGGTCAAAATTGGCAATAAATGAAGATTGTGGAACCGTGTATATATTACAAATTATTATTATTATTATTATTATTATTATTATTATATAGTTAAGAGTTAGGACAAGTGACAAGTGGGGACAATTAATCACAGAGACAGTTGCAATAAAACCACATCGGTGTTCTTGTTTTGTCTCTGTCCCTCCCTCCCTACTACCATTCAACTCTTATATAAAAGTAAGTAGGATAGAAATAGATACAATTTTTTTTTCTTTTTTTTTTTTTTTTTTTGTTAAAGCATCAACTTACCCATGACGTCACGGTCACAAATTAACTCACTATACTACCAGACTATTCCTTAAAAACATAAATAAATATGTTTTTTTTTTTTTGATCAGACATAAATAAATATATTTTTAGTTTCAATATAAGTGGATCATGTAAAATTAGTCATATTATATTTCATTCATCGGCCTCTAAGGGTTACGTTTACCTTTTGTGTCATTATATTTAATATTAACAATATCATTATATTTGTATAATATTTTATATAAATGTCCTTCTATTAGTATTATAAGTCACTAATTAAAGTATTTTTGCAATTTACTATGTTTTGATATAATAATTAATATTTAAAGATCAACACGCAAAAAAATAAACGAGACGCTTAAAGCCAGACGGAAGTAGTATTTGTTTTCATGTAAAATTGGACTCAATTTATATTAGTACAAATTTATGTGATCATTGACATTACAGTGTTACTCCCACCGTTCCATTGAAAAATTACTATTTTTTATTTTCGTTCGTCCCAAAATAAAGTTATTATTTCCTAATTTAATAATTGTACTACCTACTTAATATAATAAATACCCTTTCAATTTACAATATATTACACAAATGTCATTACTTTTATATTACCCCATACTAATAGGGGTATTTTTGTCTTTTTTACTACAATCAAATATAATACTAATATTAAAAAACTTACGTGCAAAACACAATGACACCCTTCCAATGGGACGGAGGGAGTATTCATTTATTTATTTTTGTAATGACTTGGGAATCATATGTCGGACAAGATCTAGAAGTTATCAGAATATCTCTTATTGGACATATTCTATCATTTTTTATTTTTTAAATTTTATGACGTTGGAATCCGCAACCGTATATTTTATAAATTTTTTTTATAACGTGAGAATCTACAACCGTATACTTTATAAAAAAATTTTATAACGTGAGAATTCGCAACTGCTACTCGTCGAGCTGCTACTCGTCGAGTGCGCTTCTAGGTAAATTGGTCAAACTTAATACCCTGCAAACTAAGTTTAACAAAGAAAGTCACATTAGGCGAACCGTACGTGGCAGGTGAACCTGAAGGTGTGGGGGATTTGAACCCTTAACTTTACGGTCACAAGTCTACCCCACGTATTCTATCATTTTTATTTTTATTTTTTTATGACGTGAGAACCCGCAGCCGCTCTCTAAAAGTGCGCACTGGATATACACCAGGCCGAACCTAATACCCTGCAAACTTGTTATTGAGATATACAAAGAAATACATGAATGTGTTTTCTTATTATATCTTTGAGATACATAATACTCAATCCTTACGCTAGGGTGCGTTTGTTTGAGGGTTTGGATTTTGAATTGAGATTTGAATAGTAAATTTTTTTAATTGGAATAGTTGTATCATGTGATATAAATAGGTGTTGATGTGATGTTTTGAATGTAAAATTGATTTTTAGTATAATATAAAAAAAAATAAAAAATAGGTATTTGATTTGATATTTTTGGAGAGAAAAAATTGGATGAATAGTAGAAATTTGGGGAAATCCCCCAAAAGAACATACAAGTTTGTCCATTAAATCTATTTCATTATTAATGTTGACAAAATCAATAAATCAATATTTAATTATACCCTTATTTCAACGCTTATTTACAATAAATACCACTAATTTTTAACTAATTTTTTAAAAATATTTTTAACTATCTATCATTTTTTTTTAATAAAATATATATATATTTTAATATCTGTGCCGAATCCAAATGAACTAAGTAATAAGTAATATGGTATGTGTTTGGAGCATGATTATGTTTGTGACGTACATATATTAAAAAATGAAGGGAATCAAATGCCAAAAAAATAATTTCAGCATTTAAAAAATAATTGTCAAAATATCTCATTAATTTTCTAATTAATATAATTATATATAATTAAATTTTAGTTATTAAGTATAATGCTTGAAATTATTTCTTTAGCATTATATCCATGTTGATTAAAAAATATGATCATGTGTTTATGAAACATGTATAGTACACACATATATTATATATCGTGTAAAGCTGTTGTTTAGTTGTACGTGAGCACCTAATTAATAAATAAATATCTTAAACAATATTTTTTTTTAATATAATGAATAAATAAATAATTTATCAATTATTCATTTAATAGTTTTTTTTAGAGATTATATAAATTTTAACAAACAACCATGAAAAAAATATTTTGTGCATAATTAAATTTAGCACAAGGTTTTACTCATAAATTTAAATCGATTTTGATGATGTGGCCATTGTGGGGACTTATGTAGGATGAAATATATTCGTGCACTCAATAATAGTAATAATAAATAATAATGCTGATTGTAAATGTATGCGGAACATAATAGCATACAAAATTCGAAAAATTCTGAGGATTTGAACTCATGATTTTACGGTCATGAGACCATCCGACTTACCGCGTGTTATTTATATTTATATTATGTAGGATTATCATAGTGCTATTTTTTTAATGTAGTTGGAGATAGTGTTGAAATGAAAAAATTTAAAAAATAAAATAAAATTGAATGTATAGTATCGGCTTTGATTCCAACTTTTAATCAAGGTGGCAAATTCTATGCTGATTCGGCCAAGTGAGCATGGTGATAATAAAATATAATTTTACTATATATATTTATATAAACATATAGGAGTGACAATTCGAGCCGATCCAATTTTTTTTTTTTGTGCCATGCCGACCCGATTCCAAACCGTAATGGGCCAGCACGGCCCGACCCGAGTAGAAGTGAAGAATTGAATTCACGACCAAATATATATAAACTAAGACTTTTATCATTAAACCATATTGTAATAATTTGTCTTATTTCAAAATTTAATATATATATATATATATATAAATTTATTAAAGATTTAAATATTAATTTTAAAACTGAGCCGGGCCAGACACAGCCTGGAAATTTTCAAACCTATTTTTTGAGACCTAACCACGATTTTTTTTGCTCAAACCGGACTTTCGAGCCATGCTTATTTTTGTCACCCCTATATATATATATATATATATATAACGAATATTACATATCCTCTACTTGATGTATGCATGTGGTCGTATGCATGTATTAATTGTTAGGGAATAAATAAAATAAAAGGTGATATAGATGGGCTTCCAAACAAATCTTAAATGAAGTTTGACTAAATTTTAATGATGAAAGAGGGTATTGCAAATATTTTGCAATGCGACAGCGACACCCAATGAAAGAATAAATATAT